AAGTTTTTGTTTTTCTTCTTAAAATTTTTGATTGTTTCATCAAACAGCACTTATAAAATGTATACCAAACTTTCTATTCCATATTTGTATTTCCTATTAATGTAATTAATCCCCTATATACTTAGAGGTATGTTTATGAAGTAGTGAATCTGACAATCACCAACCAATCTCTGCAGGTTAGATTTAAATGACCGCTGAATGTTTGGTGAAAATTACATTCACTTTATTTATAAATATGCCTCTTAGCAGTTATATACAATTACAAGTACATTTCTGTTTATAATCACAAGTGTTTAATTACTCTACTATTACTTATGGAATTCATCTGGCTAGCATTGTTCATTCCTAGACTTGGCTCATTGTCACTATTTCCTTATTGCTTAAAAGCCCCATTTGACCTTTTTTTTTAGAAGAAATTCTGATCAAGCTTATCATAAATGTGATGTTTGCATCTGTTGTAAATCTTCTCGTGTACAGAGGTGCAGTTTTATCAGTCATACAGGTAAAGACTAAGGTATGCTGCTCATAAATCTTAGGGCAACTGGGGTCATTTCCAAACTTACAAAACTGCTACCGATGGTGCATATGTTGTGACTCTGTGTATCTCTGTGCAAATACTGTATTAATTTAATAGGCAAAGCTACCCCTGAGGAAGTAAGTGCAAAACACTTCAGTACCACCAACACAAACTCTTAAAGTCCATCCATTTTCCCAAATGCTCTATCATGAGTCCCCCAGCAGTGGGCCCTCACATGGATTTTTTCCTTGGCCCTAGGCTGAGGAGGCCTAGGCCCAGAAGACCTACTACTCTCCAGGCTACAAACCTGCATGATATAGGTCAAGAGTAACCAGCTCCCATCCACATTTTGCCTAGGGACACCCACACCAAAATATAAAGTACTCCACCTGTTAACATCATTAGGGGAGTGATCTCTCTAAAAAGGGCACTACCACCCGCTTACACTTCCCCCATTAACAAAGGCACGTCCCTGTGCCAGCGGGTACCAAAACATCGGGAAGATTGGCTTGGAACATGTTATCAACACAGAGCAGTATATTACATAAATAAAAATTGTTTTAAAGACATAACAGAAGGCATATAAAATGCTATATCTGGAAAATACTTGACATTGTTACAAACAATATAACATTTTAACATACATTGTATGCATAAATCAGCCATATTACACATTAATGGTATTTTTCCTCTAGGATCATAACATTACATAGATAATGATTCATAGCCACAAGGCTTAAATGAAATTACACAGTGTAAAACAACAGTCATAAAACCAGAACAGCGTCACACTTTTACACATAGTACTTGGGATCAGGCCTCTGAACCCAATTACCATCATGAGGATGTTGCCTCTGTCATGCAAAATCCTTGCCGTCTGGACACACCAACACTACTTAGTCTATATAAATGTAGCAACCATAGCTACAGCTTTCATAGCACTGGATGAATGAACTCATAAGCCTGACATGTGTCCCCTAAAGGAGGCCGAAGAGCTTTGGGTATTTTCAAATTTTCTTAGATGGCATGTTCGTACATCTCCAATCTTTCTGCTTCCACCACACAAAAAGTTTCCCTGAATATAGGGAAAGGTAACACCATACTTTTCCAGGACCTTTCTGATGACGTGGAGTTGAAGACAAGACAGACGGGTTAACCCTCACCCTCAGCCCTGCCCCCTAAGGATTTAAGAACACCCCAAGCCAAAGGCAGATCCAGGATTTCTTTGTTACCTTTAAACTCTTCTTCGCCATCCCCTGGTACTTCACTCCACTCAAGCGGGCCAAAAATCACCTGCTCAAACTCTGTCCCTTCACCATGGACAACATGGAAGAAAGGCCCAGGGCTCCCAATGCACCACTATCCAGAACAGTCTCTTTTACTCCACAGCCAATGTGGCCACTTTTTGGGTGACAATTGCCATTTGTCCTCTAAACAGGACATCACTTTCTTGTTCAGGCATGGGCACCACCTTTGGATCATCAGCACTGTGCATAGGAACCTCCACAAGCCAGCTCCAGCACTTCACCCATCATTGGGGGAGTCAAGATCATTCATACAGTTGTTTCCATTTCTGCAGCTACTATTGTTATTGGCCAAGTCTCTTTTGGTTCCGTAGCTATGGGCTCTACATGGGATGGTTTAACTCGAGTTGAAGATGAGGAGTCTCCCCACTGCTCTACAAGTCCAGTCTGACCGGGAGCAGGAGAGGCCAGAGGGCAAGTCATTGCTGCTTTCATCCCTGTAACAGTTTTTCCAGGGACTGCTTACTAAGCTTTATCTTCATCCTACAGGATCAGCAAGTCACAAGGTTCATCGGATTTGAGAAAGATTTCAAAGAAATTGGCATGACACTTTCCACAAAGCACCCATGGAGCAAAGATCCCCTTTCTTGGCATGAAGCATAGTTCAGTGTCTACATGACTCTACAACACACCATTAGCAACCTCTTGGGCTGAAGCCCCCATTCCACTGCTTGCTGCCATGGTAAATAGAACATGTTAGGTGCTGCCACTACTCAGTTCGAACACTCTGTTTCCAGTTGGATCTTTTTATATTCCAAGACTCTACCCTCCAATAAGTGTCTAATAAGCAAAACAGCCATATCCTTCACAGGCAGTGAGGTATCCTATTCTGGCAGTGAGGTATTCTATTCACTATGTCAAGTGTTGTCAAGCTGGATTAGCTACCGGTTACTGCCAGAGACTCTGCCCTGCATCTTCACAAGATAGGGTATGCACATACATGTCTTGTGTCCCACATGCTCCAGGTCACTGGCACGCTCCTTACACAGAACTTACATTTCTCAGGCCCTGTGCCAACCTTCTTGAATAAAGAATGTCCACACAGGGTGCTTTTCAATTATTTACTGTAGAACAACATAAACAGAACTTAGCACAACAGTTTCACATCTTCACCTTTTCTCATTTATGGTACAGAACACTTCAGTGTCACCAACACAAACTCCTGAAGTCCATCCATCTTCCAAAATGCTCTTTCATGCATCCCCTTTCTGTATTTTTTAAAAGCATTGGGTCCACAAATGGGCGTGAGTCTCTTTCCCTGCTGGGCCTAGGCCCAGGAGACCTACAGTACCCCATCTACAGGCTACAAACCCCATACAGTATATGCTGTAGGTCAGGGGGCAGGAATAACCAGCTCTCTTCCCCCACCTTCCTCCCAGTGTGCCCCACATCACACATTGGTATCAGAATATAAAGGACAACATTGGTGTCATAGGAATGGTGTCCCATCTACCCCCCATCATTAAATAGTGCCCCATCCAGTGGGGGGGAGAATAGTGGTCTCCCCATCGAAAAGGGTGCCCCATCACCACCTGCTTGCATACTGAACCAGGAACTGGACGCAAAAACCAAGGAAAGTGTAATTGCACTTTGGTAACTTGATAACTAAATATCTGTATAGTCAACATGCACTTTCTGTATTTTTTAAAAGAAGACAAAACATATATATATATATATATATATACATACTGTGTATGAAAATATATATTTTTTTACTTACATGAACATTTATGTTTGCATAACTAGCATTACATAATTGTTTAATCATGGTGTGCTCATTGGTATGGTGTCCCCATCATTTGCATTCAGTGTTCATCAGGGGGTGGGGGGAATATGTGCCCCATCATTGGTATCAGTAGTGCTTGGTGTCAGTGGGGGGGGGGAATAGTGCCCCATCGTTGATGTCAGTGGGGGGGAGGAATAGTGCCCCCGCCCCCATCCCCCCATCGTTGGTGTCAGTGGGGAGGAATAGTGCCCCATCATTGGTATCAGTGGAGGAATAGTGCTCCATCATTGGTATCAGTGACACCAATTGATGGGGAAAAGTGCTCTATTCCTCCCATCCTCCCTGTAGCAGAAGTACTGCTACAGGGTTCCTCTTAGATTGTAAGCTCCAAGGAGCAGGGCCCTCCTAACCCTCTTGTATTGAACTGTATTGTTGCTGTATTATCTTCCTTTATTTTGTAAAGTGCTGAGCAAACTATTGGTGCTATATAAATCCTGTATAGTAATAATAATACAGGGTGGCACAGGTGCGTAAAACCACGTGTATATATACGTGATTTTGCATTTCCAGGTAGGGGGCATGCGTGAGCCATTCGTAGTCTTGGCTGTCAATCACCAGGTCCTGGCAGGTGATTACTCGCTGACAACCGGTGATTGCCGAGCATCTCTGAAGGGGGGGGCGAGAACTGTTTGTAAACAAAACAGTTCTCTCCCCTGTCAGCTCCTGCACACTGTTTTGCATGGCTGTGCATAGCACAGCCATGCAAAGCAGTGTGCTTACAGTGAAGCACAAACACAGCCACACAGTGTAAAACGACACACAACACACAGTTAACCCTTTGATCGCCCCACATGTTAAACCCTTTCTACCCAGTGCCATTAGTACAGTGTCAGTGTGTTTTATTAGCACTGTACTGGTGTCACTGGTGATGTCAGTGACACCAAGTCAGTTTCCCCCAGTGTCAGAATGTCCGCAGCAGTCCTGCGTGATCGCCGCCATTACTAGTAAAAAAAAAAATATTTTAAAAAATCCCGGCATATATACCGCCATTTGTAAATGCTATCACTGTCACTAAAACCAATTAATTTACATGTATTTGGATTTTTTAGCAGAATACATTTTGGCCTAAATTTATGCCAAAATTTGATTTGTTAAATTATTTCACTGGACGTGTTTACTAGCAAAAAGTAAAAAATATAGTTTTTTTCTCACAATTGCCAGTATTTTGTTTTTTATAGCACAAAAAATAAAAACTGCACAGGCGATCAAATACCACTGAAAGAAAGCTCTATTTGTGGGAAAAAAAGGACATACATTTCATTTGGGTGCAGCATTGCATGATTGCGCAAAAGAGGGCAAGTGGTTAACAGGGGCGAACTGACAACTCATGGGGCCCCTGTGTCCTTGCCCAAACTCAAAAAAGCCTATGAAAAAGGTACCAGGGGCATCTCATGGGGCCCCCTACTGACCCCAGGCCCTCGGGCAGTGCCCGAGTTTCCAAATGGTCAGTCCGCCCCTGGTGGTTAATGTGATTTTCAGTTTTGCATACTTGTTATGTACTTATTTTTATGATCAAATCTTAGATTGTAGCCACTAGAGGGCACAGTTCTGAGCAGCAAGTGACTCATCAAAAAGTAAAAAAAAAGTATTAGGCCTCCTGAATTGTAGAAAAACAAAAAGGGTCTGGCAATAAAAAAGGGTTAGATCCTCCAGCTGGTTAAGGATTTGAAACAAACTCTGCTTTACTCCTCAAGCTACAGCATAAAGATGACCTCCCCTGAAGTTAGGTTTTTTTTAAAAAGAATTTACAAAAGCTTTTGGTGGGATATATGCATTGTAATAAAAGCCATGTTGATCCTGGGGAATGCTACATTTGTGTGATACCTTTTGTGGAGCTATAATGCAGGCTCTAGAAAGCTTGAATGCTCAAATGTTACACTAACAAGGCTTCATTTTTGAACTGTCTGATTCATGTGCACTTTGTTAGATATTTTCCCACCATCATGATCAAAGATTGACAGTGGAGAAAGACCGAAGCCTTCTAATAAAGGTTCAGCACACAAGTGTGTTTATAGTCGGTGCTTGTGTAGCAAGTTGGCACCCAAGGAGGGCACAAAGGTTTTGCAAAGAAAGCAGGACAGCAATTATTCCCTTGATGGGCTTGAAAACGGCATTGAGTGTATTTTTTTTTTGTTTCTGTAATCGTTTCTTTGCTAAGCATGTATATAAATAGTGCATGTGTTCATGTGTAAGTAGCACATTTTGCATTTAGATTTGGAATAGTTTGTAATACCAAAGCATGTAAATGTCTTTCTATTTTTTTCTTGTAATACATTTCTACATATTTTCTTTTTTATTTGTTTGCCTGCATTGATGCTCTTAGGTATCTATGCAGTATATATAGAAATATACTGTAATGTATATCACTAATATCTCTATATATATTAAGGTGATAATATAATATTATGTCAAAGAACAGAAAAGATAACAAATGTTTATGCCACTCCTTTAATGTTTGTGCCTATATCAGGAAGACCTATATTTTTTTTTAAATTTTTGTATACTAACAAATTATATCTAAAAAACTTTTAATAACTTTACTCTTTGAAAGTAGATACTTCAAGAAAAGTTATAACAGTTTACTTCTTTTTATAAACAGTGTATAAATATATTTTACAAAATTCCTCAAAAGTATTGTAGGAAAGTATTTTATTTTGACAAGATTTATAGTACAGGATGCACCCACTCTGCAAAGCATCCAGCACTACCTTGAATGCTTTCTGTAAGACTCATTTAATTTATTTGTTAAAAAGTTGGGACCTCTGCTAGGAGAGAAGGAGGGAGTTGATCCTCTGATTCATTTAGGTAAATTTTTTTAACTGAAAGTTTTCAAATTAATTTTTTTTTTAAAGAACACTTGTACAGCAACAAATAGTCAGAGAGAACAACTTCAGTTAGGGCAGTTAGGTAATTTAAAAGTGTCATTCTATTTAGGATAATTGGTCTGTTATTTGATTAAGAAAGGCTTATTCAATTTATGATACCGTGTATGTCTCTGTTCAAAGACACAGACAAACAAAACATATAGTAGGGTTTAGTGTATAATAAATTCTATGTAAAACATGTTTTGAATCAAAATCTTCCTTGGCTGAGAAATGTGTTCTGCTGTCTGTGCCCCCCGTTAGGGAGATTTACTATTTATCTTGTATACCATTATCACCAAGAGTGAAAGAAAATCCCAAGTTTTGGTTTGTCACTGGAACATGAATAAAGAGTAACTCTCCCAATGGGGACACTAGTTCTGGTGCCTGTGGTGACAACCAGGGAGTCTCTCACTCTGAAAGGATTTCCTCTCACTTTCCTTTCTGGTTATGGAAAAGGAAGTGAAAGCAAATTTCCCCAATGGGACACAGAAGTCAAAAAATAAAACTGACATGGTTATAGTCTATCTAAAATGAAAAGTTGTACAGTACTTTAAGCATGTCCATCTATTCCCCACTAGTTAATGAGGGGATAGCATTTTGCTATTTATAACCAGCACACATCAGTCTCACGGATGACTTATATGTAAGGTTGCCTACATAAAAGGCTTCACCGTAACTTATGTTAGTAATGTACCTCAGTATCTTTAGAGTAGGAGCTTTGATGAACTGGACATGCATTGATGAACTGGACATGCATAGCATGTTGTACCGGGAGTTACTTAAACAACTATTGACTGGGTGTAGTAAAATGTTTTTTTCAGAACTCTGAAAGGCAGGGGATGAGTGAGCTGAGTATATTTTGAGACATGATAAATCTGATGAGCCATTCAGTACCTCTGGTGAAGACATTTTGCTAGATAGTGACTTTACCGATCCAACCATGATTGTTAGAAGATGATAAGATGTTATTAAAATAATATTCATTCTCTTATATTTATGGAGGGTGTTTAATTTTATACTTATGAGTACAGTTTTTTAGGGTTAGGAAAGTCTTTCGGCCTACATTTGTAGCTGTATGTATTTTCCAATATTTGTTGCTATTTTTGGCTGTATGACTGTTCTAAAAGTATATGAAACCCTTACTACTGATATATCATGAATCTAATCTTCTGTCAATAATAAATCTTGTACATCTGCCTTCTTTTTCAAAAACATTAATTTTCAGCTGCAAATACCTGGTAATCCTGCCAGTTTCCTTCCCTTCCTGAAGCATTCTAAACATACTAAGCATGGAAGTAGATCCTTGCTCGCGTGGTCAGTGTGTGCCCCTTAGTTTCTAATTTGCCATGCTTATACCTATACTTCTGTAATTAGTCTGGCTGTTGCCACCCTCCCAGTACTGATCTGATTGGTTGAGAGGAACTATAAGCAGGAGTCAGCTGTGGAACATGGAAAGAATACAGATGTAGCCAGGTGCTTGTCTAAGAATGGAGTGTGAAACACTGCCTGCAGCTGCTCTCTGTAGCTGCTACCCTATGGTGCTGAACTGTTTAACAGCAGTTTCAGTCAGAGAAGGGAGCTGCTGAGCAGGAAGAGTTCAATAGACTGAATCAAGCAGCAATGCCCTGTGGGAAATGTAGTCTGGAGGAGAGACTATGCTGTGGTGATCAAAAGCTTTTGAACTACAGTCCCCAGAGAGGAGATTACCAGGAGGAGGGGAAACAACTGCATATTCTAGGCTGTGCAGGACTTTTCTTTCTCTTGCCTTGACCAGAGAGTGCACACCTCTGTCCAGTGTGCACCATCACCTCTGCATATTGGTGGCCTGAGCAGGATCTGGAGTGCTGAGTTTGGGGTACCAACAGCCAAAGTCACTTGGGTGCACAGCAGAGAGTGGACTAATGTGTGTGACCGGATGGTGAGCCGCAATATAGCTGCTGTGGGTATTTACTATCTGCTGCTAAAGAGATTGAGCCCTTTAGGGACTGACCATACAGCCATCTAGTAGCCCTATTGCTGCCTGCAGGCTTGACTGGGACTATGCTCATGTGTACCAATGGTAAAACCGGGTCCCATTGCTAGCATTGCTGAAGAGTTAGGACTAAAGACTGCCCCTTTACTGCTGATACACAGAGACCTATACCTATTGCTTATGCTAAGAGGTACCTCTCAGGGGACATTTCACCATATCCTAGGAATCCTCCTGGAGCGCACTCTAGACTAGTTATAGCGTTATTATTCACACTGCAGTTAATCGTTATATGCACCGCATATTGCTGACTTTGCTGATTCATGAGTTAATTCCAGTCTAGTAGTACAGAACTCTATTCCAAGTTACTTAAGCATAGTGATTATAGTTTCTAGCAGACTGTGTCTGAACATACCTTTTATATGCTCATTTATGCTCAAACTACCATGTACTCTAACCCATACCAATACATTGAGTTGAATTACCACTAAATCACCTTGTGCCTAATTCACAGTCAAGTTAAAGGCATCCACACTTGTGTTCCTGTAAGTGCATGCAGTAACGTCCACTCAGCCAGGAGTGTCAGAGGGGCTGAGGTTGTTCTTGGGAGTCGAGGTACAGAACAGAGAACCCAAATTACCAAGCAGCTCCTTTGAGGGTAGCGCTAAATGGAGAACGTATTTCACCACTGCCTTTACATCATGCCAATTCCCACCTTCCATCAATGTGGCCATTCTCCCACCACTGTGCTGCAACCTCCCTCTCGGCCCTGATCTGTTTGATTGACAGAAGCATCTTGTTCCTAGCCAGTAAGGAGATGTTTTATGCCACAAAAATAGGTCTAGACTATTTTAAAAGTTTCAGTTATTTTCAGGATGCATTTATGACCCATTGCATCTGTAAAAACACCTTCAAGAGACCCTGTCACCGGACCATTCATTTCAAGAGAAATCTTCCCACAATATTATATGTTAATATACATATTTTATGCATGATTTACCTGTAAAGGCCTCCCTTGTGTAGACATCCAAAAGTCCTGAGAATACTGTTGGGTGCAAAAAAGTTAGCAGCCCCAGCAGACTCAGAGCTGTCACTCAAGTGACACTCTATAGTATTCCTCTTCCCTCCTCACCAAACATCTACATAAAATGTTATGCAGGGAGGGGAGGGGGTAGGGAGCTATGCCAGCACAGACAGTAATTAGACACTCCCAGAAGAGGAGAGGCCTATGACATGCAAAGATGGAAAACTGTGCCAGGGAATTTCTTGGGGTATCAATTCCCTAACAAAAGCACACTCCAAATAAATAAAAAAATAATTAATGGAAAGGAAAAACTGCAAGTAGGCAATTCAAATTCTTGATTTTTCTGTGCTTTTGACCTGCAGTTTTTAAGTTGGTGAAATAGTCTCTTTAATTTCAACTTTCATATTTACTCCAATGAATTTATTTGTAAAATTTCAAGGAGGTGAGAGTTACAATTTTTTTCATCCCTAACCATGGCTCTGTCAATTCAAGCTAATAACACATGCTTTCTTTAAGCTAATAAACATACCATTATCAGACCATTGCTCTGTCACTGTTTTCGATGGTGTAGGCTGAAGTGTATGTAAATCATATAAATGAAC